GTCGAAATGTCGGGTTAGTTAGTCGAAATAAGACATTTTGGGCACAATTGCAAGTTTGCCCGTCATGAACAATTTCATCCTTTAATTGTAAAGTTGCATAACGAAGTTGTGAATCTTTTTAAAAACGATACAATGGTCGAAACAAATTTAATGAGTACAATGGTCGAACGAATTTATTGCCTGTCCTATTTCGTCAAATTTTTTTCATTAATTAAGCTTGTTTCTCGCTTCCTGTCTTTGAAATCATACAAATATAATATTTGAAAGTGAAAAGTAGGAAAACGTATTAAATTAAATGAATTCAGTTTGTTTGCTATAAATTCTCACCTTAATAGTTTTCTGCTTTAATAACACACGTGTACATCAGCTTAAAAGTATTTACAATACAGAAATAAAATAAAAAACATGTACATTATAAAGAATTTTTTTTCACCAGCAAAATGTATGTTTCAATTACATACATATGTACATAAAATTGTCAATTATGTTGAAAATAAAGTCATCTTTTTTGGAGGGGGTGTATTTCACACGCAGGAAAAAATGTTTCCATAGAAGACGATCAGCTGCATGTCGTCAGAAGCAGGTACACAAGGGGAAGGCACCCTATAAATGCTGTGGGACATTGTTTCTAAGTTTCGGCAAATCGCAAAGACACGAGTTTGTAAATTACATACCATACATAAAATACATAGCGTTCTGATATTTCTACAAACGGCTTGGCAAAGATGGAAAGAACACAAAGAAATGGTTACATAAAGAAAAACTACTAAGAAAACGAAATAAGATAAACTTGGAGCAATGTATTGCCCTTTTATTTGCAGCGGCATACAAAATGTACCCTGTGTGTTGAGAAATGAACGCATTATATATGTAAAGGGATTAAATTGAAGTATAAAATTTCTTATTAGGACACGTTGTTTGCTGGTTGGTTGGTTGTTTGCTCTGAAACAACCGAAACAAATTAGAATTTAGAAATTCTATCAGATTATTGATGTAAATATAGCTTCAATGTTGTGTTTAACGGTGTTGGAGCTATTATAGCCGGGTTTCAAAATATTTGTCCTCATTAGAAATTTTGTACTTTAATTGTACTAAGTGTACCCATTTAGGAACATAAAATGCGTTCATTTCTCAACACAAAGGGTACATTGTATGTCGCTGCTTATAGCAAATAATGGGGCAATATATTACTCAAGTGTTATCTAATTTCTTTTTCTTAATAGCTTTTCATTATTTACATGTAACAATTTTTTTTCGTTACACTCAATCCGTATGTAGAAATATCAGACAGCTATGCACTTCATGTATGATATGCATTTTCGCATTGAAGGTTCCATGATTACCGCTATATGAACACATCTGCGGATGTTTAAAAATTCAAAATTGTACCAGTTCATGTTAAATGTTGAATTCTGCTTAAGCCGGTGCTAGGGGGCGTGGAGAGTAGTTTGCAATTGACAGTACCGTCCATGAACAGGCTCAATCAAACCGATTCTGCAACATTTTTAATTTTGCCGTGTTGGGCTTTCTTTAGGGATTCTTATTTTCTCTATTTTATCGCCACATCAGAGTTGTTTGCGCCGTGTGGAGGCTGTAAAAAGTCGTCCCGTACATTCAATCCGAGATGTTATATTTTCGATCCTTAAAGATCGTTCAGCACGACAATTTGTTGTGCTTGAGATAATTTAACTCTTTCTATTTGACCTTTTTCTTGTTGGGTGGCCCAGTATTCCTCACTTGAATACTGTTGAATCACTCTTAGGGTATGTGGCCTGCTTCTTAAATTTGCCTTTTGACGTCTTATCTGTGAAATGCAGGCGTCATAACCTCTGATCCCCTTTCAAAATTCCATTTTATTTAGTTCCGCCCATTGTTTTCTCGTTTAGGGCACACGCATTTTTTACTTGGGGATCTTATGCCGCTTTTCATGGAATGGCACTTACGTGTCGCATTGAAGGTTCCATGATAACCGCCATATGAACACATCTGCGGATGTTTCAAAATTCAAATTTGTGCCTGTTCTTGTTAAATGTTGAATTCTGCTTAAGCCGGTGCTTTGGTGCGTGGACGGTAGTTTGCACTTGACAGTACCGTCCATGAACAGGCTCAATCAAACCGAGCCTGCAACATTTTCAATTTTGCCATGTTGGGCTTTCTTTAGGGATTCTTATTTTCTCTATTTGATCTGTTATTTGTTATTTATATAGTATATAATCATGTTGATGTGATTATGACCTATGATTTATGATGTTGTATAAATGAATAAGTAAGTAAAGAAAGAAAGAAAGAAAGAAAGAAAGAAAGAAAGAAATAAGGAAATAAGGAAAGAAAGAAAGAAATTACCGGCCCACCCACTCCCCTCCCCATGCATTATTGATATCAAACCTTTTTTTCGACCAGGAACGTGTACTTATCATACACTGCTGTGTCAGAATAATAATAATAATAATAATAATAAATAGAAGGTACCAAATAAAATTTACATAGTAAGGAGTATGCTTACTTTCAGTACGGCCTTCTTATTTTACAATAACAAAAAATGTAGATCTATACAAAATTTAAAATCTTTTTGTACAAAAAAAAAATATATTCTTGAATGTAAAGGTTAGATATTTTCATTCATTCATCCGACTGACATTCATATTAATCAATAGAAATTATAGATAAACTCGTAATGATTAAAAAAAAATATGATATCAACATTTACAACAGTTACAATATAAAGTAGTCAATTTTCATCATTTATCTAACTATAAACTTAGAAAATAAATTTTGAAAGCTTGTAAAGTCGAACATTGTTTGATATAGTAGTAGGTATACTAGGTAATCTCCAAACGTCAATACTGAAATGAGAAAAAGAATCCTTTAAATACTTAATTAGTATGAGGTCGATTGAGCGTAAATTATGTAATTCATTGTGAATTAATGAGACTGAAAATTTCACTCATATACAACGGTGCCAGATTGTTTAATTAAAAAGATTTATATGCCTTAATGGTTGTGTGGTGTTTAATCCTAAAATTGAATTTCAGCCATTTAAGTTTATTAAAAAGGTCTAACTTTGGCTGAGTATAATTTTGGCAGCTCTTTTTGAATTGAAATTACTTTATTTGTGTCCTTTCCCCCATGCAGTACAACAATAATCAAGCACAGGAAGGATGTGCGCGTTGTAATATATATATTTTTAACTTCGAAAGTAAGGTCTTTGTTTGTTTGTTTTGGGTTTTTACGTCACATCGACACAGTATAAGACACGTCGCGACGTTCCAGCTTTACTGGTGGAGGAAGACGTTAGGTGCCCTTCCGTGCATTATTTTAGGCACGAACGGGCACCTGAGTAGAACCACCGACGTTCCGTAAGCTAGCTGGATAGCTTCATCACATGAAAGAAACCAAAGTCCCTGTCGGGATTCGAACCCACAGCGGTGAGGGGCAGGTGGTTTGAAGTCACCAACCTTAACCACTCGGCCACAGACGCCCCCTCGAAAGTAAGAGGGCAATTCTTGTATTTAGATTATTTTTTTTTATTTTTTTTTGCAAACAGAGTCTACTTGATACTTCCAGCTTAAGTTTTATCTACATAAATACTCATCAAATAACTTTTGAATTGTAACATTTCCTAAAGTTGTATCAGGAAACATTCACATTTTATTGGGTGCAAGGACATGTTATTAAGGATACACCAATCATTTTTAAAAAAATAACCCGGATTGGTAAAGTGTACTGTAGAGTCATTTGCATACAAGTCTATATCAGAGTTTTTATATATCATTGATATACATGTAAATAAAAAATAGTAAGGGCCTTGAGGAACTCCTGATTTAACCACTAAACTGTCAGATTATAAATAACATATTTGAACTGTCTGTTTTTTGTGTTTCGTTTTTTTATAAATAGGAACGAAACAAAAAGTTTGGGGTTTTTTTTCTCCAGAAAAATGATGTAGGCCTAATTTCAATTTGTGCATGAAAAATTCATGATCGACAAGATCAAACGCTTTTCTTAAATCAAGGAAAATAGCACCTATCATTTTACCATTATCAATATCTTTGATCCAGGCATCATTTTATTATTTAGTCTAAGTAATGCTGTATTGCATGAATGATTTTTTCGAAACTCTGATTGTTTCTGATGTTTTTTGAAAAAAATGCCTTTAAATAGATGTAAAACCACTGAGACCACCAAAACCTGACAACCACCAAACCCGGACGGCCCCGAAAATGCCTGAATTAGATTATTTTATTTGTTCAGTGGTTGTCGATCTATCGGTCGCTTTTTTATCAACAATAATTGCATGTTTGTTCTAGAATTTTGTAATTTAATTAATTTTTTTTTAATTTTCTTAGACGATAATATTTTAATTTCTTTTTCAAGAAGGTTGACATTGAACATTTGGACGTCTATTTAAGTGCAATACCTGACCACTTATACTAGCTATATCAATTGCAGAGTGAATAATAGAATATCCAAAACTGCAGCATTTGCTGCTGAAATATTGTATATCATGTTAAAGATAAAAAATTAAAACACCAAAGCTTTTATTGAATTTAATCAATGATATGGACATATCTGTCCGGACACATATATGGTACTGTAGTGTGGACAATGTAGGTAATTTTGATACCCTCATTCATGGGGCTCAGATGCAAGTGTCAATATAATCAGAAATAAACAAACTAGTATAGTTAGGAGAAAAGCCTAGCTGTACTCTGTCAAATTGTCTGATCCCTAGCTTTAAAATTATGAAATCTGTATGGAAAAATGTTCAAAAAGTGTCCGGTTGATGGTCCCTGACCAGTATTATGTCATTCAAATATTTTTGAGATGGTGGGTAGAATTGAAATTCAGGTCGATAATTTTCAAAAAAAGTCTCTAGCTCTACTTCCAAAAAAAATCATCAATCCTAAACGCTGCACACTTCTCGGTTGTCATTTATTTTTCCAACATGATGATGTAGTCATCTGTTCCCAATGTATTTCATGCGTAATTAAATTAGAACGCAGTTATTGATGACGCAAAAAATGTCCGTATGTAGCACGTGAAAATTAACAATTTCCAATTGTACAGGTATTTTCAAGTTTGTTTGTAATCAAAATACGTTTAGTTGATGAAAAATTGCTTTTATTATGTTGAAGTTAAAAGTGTAGAATATATATCTGTCGATACGTCTGCTCGTGGCAGTTGTTTCGTCAATCAACAAACTTGACAACCTTCACCAACTTGACCAAGGCTCCTGCATTCAGAAAATTTCCAAAGTTTAATTTTAAACCTAAAACGTTGAGCAATTTCACAAGGTGCAGTGTAGTGAGAAGTTTTTCCTTACTGATAAGCTATCCAGTATTTGCAGAGTATTTTGGGCTTTCGATTCCTCAGGGATCGAAAAGATTCGGTCACAAAATTTATTTTGGGTTCTTTTTTTTACGGAAAATTTAGCATGTTTAAATAAAACTTTTTTGTATGAATTGTCTACTGTCAGCCACATAAATTGTCACGAATCCATGAATGCTGTGAGGGTGGATGTAGGCAAAATATTTTGATGTGCTAAAGCCAGATTTAGATATTTGTGTTTTGGTTCGGGGTCTCTTCAACGTCAAAATATTAGAAATGGAAATTAATGTGATGAAACATGGAATTAGGTGTACATCTGAAAATGCTGCAAATTAAAACTAAAAACTAATTTAACACTGCTGGTCCAGTCCTGGTGACGGGCTTGTTAAAAGTTTATGTCGGTCAAGTCTGACGTCTAATAGTTATTGCTCAAAAACGCATAGCATCATAAAAAATTCAAAAAAAGTTTATTGCCTTGCCTTTCAAGCCTAGCCTTATTCAAAAGCTAATCGTCTTTTCTTTCAATTTCATGCTCAATCAAAAACTCTCAAACAATGTACTTATCAATTTAAAATAAAATATAAACATCAATCTATTTTTGTCTATCAGCCATACTGGTTAAGCAAGGTGTTTTACAGATTGATTCTAAATTTTTGACAAAAAATTATTTTCCAACACACTGACGGTGCATGGGCAATTATTTTGTTAAAAAAATATTCTGTAGGAATGTTCTGATTAGCCATTCAGATTTCGCGCACTGTATGGCCGCCATTTGTTTATCGGCTGTAAAAGGAATTTAAATACATGAGAGGATTTAATCATGATTTTTCGGATGTGACAGTTTAATTATTTTGACAAAAGGTATTTATTTTTTAGTTTTGTTCATAAATAGGTCAAAACTAATGTAAATGCACGCTGTCTTAATTGTTTTTCATTCCGCCCGATTTTCTGGCAGAACATGCTATGGGTTTTTGAGCAATTTGGATTTGACGTTGTTTTTGCCCAGAAGCAAAAATATCTCAAAGCGCCGTCATATTTATAGGACTAGGTATTATTGGTGATTGTCCCCCACTCAACTTAAAAATGTGGAGGGTTTGGAAAAAATGCGGGGGACATGATGATGCATTGGTCTAACAATATGATATAGAAAAAAAATCATTTATTTTACATTAAGGAATTTTTGACAGCTATCGTCCATTCAACATCAGAAATAGAAAAAATAAAATATTGACAAGTACTAGTTAAAAGCACAGATAAAATTGTCAATACACATGCAGGATGACCTGGTTGGCTGCTTCATGCAATTTAGTACGTATTAAAATTAGTCATTACTGTGAAAACAAAGATGGAAAAAGCGTTCAAGATATGATGAATGAAGATGAATGGAATTAAGTTGAAAAGATCGTCAGATGCTCAACTTGGCTTGCATTGACTTCATTAAAATACATTATGTGTAAAAAATATGCGCAAGTGGCGCATTATGGCACGGCCTAGAATAAATACAACACTGAGTAGGTCCTGTAAAGTGAAACTTTTTACTGGACCAAACATGATTTTACTGAACCAAAAAAAAAACAACTTCATGTTAGCATTTTGAATCACTTGATTAGTGTCAGGACTCATAATTTTTACATATATCTGGGACTTAAAATATACATTTGTATACTTAAAGTGCCAGCTAAACATAAAGAATATCAATTTATTTTATAATTATCAAAAAAGAACGCTATGAGGTTTAAGTTTTTTTCACCTATTATAATTATTTAAAATGTATACATAAATAATATAATACATAATTTTTATATTCAATGAATTCTGCAACTAACTATAATTCCAATCAGACTACATAACTAGCAAAATGTGAGGGCAAATTTCAGCAAAAATATAGAAACAGTATCATATATATTATTATTTATTATATATTGGTAATTTAGAGATGTGACATATTATTTGTTAAATAATTTTGGCACCTTCCAGCTTGACTGCCAGTGCATTGACACAATTTTACTGCCATGGACAATTCTTAACAATTAGTATATCTGGACACTGACAGCTGAGAGAAGCAAAATAATAAGTTGACAATGATCATGTTTTTAAACATTTTTTAACAATAAACTTTAAATCACTAATTAATTACATATCTAGGTACGTGAAAAATGATTGCAATGTCAGATGCAGGAATCACTTCAGCAAAAATAGTTGCCTTGTATATCTCCATTTTTACCTTAGGTTTGCTTAGAAAATCAAGAAATAAAGTGATCCTCAATTGGTTAAACACATGTTATAATTTCCCAAGTGTCAAAATTGTCTACGCTCAGCCTATTTCAAATGAAACCCGGCGATACAAAAGAGAGGGTGTTAGAAGTTAACGTGTGACATCTTAAGATGTTGATCAATGCCGATTAAATATCAATAAACAAAAACTTAACAACCAAGTTCTTGTTTATATCAACTGTGGAAATTATATCACAAACAAAATAAATTATCATGCTAACTTCTTTACAAAATTCAATTACAATTCAATACATCGGCAGCATTTAGCAATGCACAAGGGTGATGTAAACACCACAGAATAAATGCTCGTCAAATATGCCACTTTCACTAAGAACGCATTATGGCATAACAGTTTGACAAGCGTATGACCTGCCTTACACAAGCTTATATTGTATAATGACACAGACTTGGATATTATTTTCATGCATACAGGTGAATGATCCGCTTTTGCAAAATGCTTTATATTAGGATTTCAAAATACCATAGAACTTTGAATTTTTACTGGACCATCAGGCCTATAAAACAAATTTTTATCGGACCTTCTGATTTTTAACGGTCATGGTCAACGGTCTTTCGGTTCTATCACATATCAATGAAATATTTACTCTTTGCTACAAAAATTTGTTGGGTAATATTGGTAATATTTCCATATGGGTATCTCTGATGAAAAACTATTTTGTTAACTTTGTCATTTATTTATGGAAATTATTCATACTTGGATAAAATGATTGTGACCTTTTGAAATTAAAAAAGGTAAACACTCGAGTTTTTATGTACCCACTGTCTCATACAGTTGAAGTGGTTGAGCCTAAGAATTAATAAAATTTGCAGGATGTGTAGTTGTGCACCTCTGGTTTCACTTGTTGATTAATTTAGTTTTGTCAGTGCTATTGCCCTTGACTTAGTAGCAATAATTATTGGCCTTTTTTCAATTTGTGTCATCTGTAGCTCAAAAAGTATTTGCCCTAGAGTAATGAAACTTCACAGGAATGTTGGTCAGCATGTGTAGTTGTGCACCTGGGTGTTTTTGTGTCGCCTCTACGGAGTAGTGGCGACATATAGGGATCACTTCTCCGTCGTCTGTCTGTCTGTCTGTCTGTCCGTGCGTCCGTCACAAAACTTGTCCAGACTACTCCTCATAAACTACTGGTGCAATTTCATCCAAACTTTACAGGAATGATCAGTACCAAGTCTAATTGTGCATATTGTCAGCATTTTCCGGTTCAATGATTTTTGTCAGAGTAATGGCCCTTTATTAATTTTTAATTTTAAAGTTTGTCCGGACTACTTCTCTTATACCACTAATGCAATTTCAATGAAACTGTACAGGATTGATCTGTAGCTCAAGTCCTTGCGCATATTGCACGGGTTTTCCGGTTGAATGATTTTTGGCCGAGTTATGGCCCTTTGATAAAAAGGTGTTTTTTTCTGTGTGTTGCCAGATACGCAAAAGCTTGTCCGGACTACTCCTCATAAACTACTGGTGCAATTTTATCCAAACTTTACAGGAATGATCAGTACCAAGTCTAGTTGTGCACTGTCCGTCTGTCTGTCCGTCTGTCACAAAATTTGTCCAAACATGAAATTGGCCATCATGAGGCGACACATGTGATTACTGATCGCTCTTGTTATGTAGATATATTCAATATTTGTATATTGCCCTTGATTTAGTAGTTTTCAACTTCTGTTAGCCCAAAAAGTGACCTCAAACCACTTGTCCCACACAGGCTTCGCAAAAGTTGCCGGACCGTCGGACATGTCCGATCAAGACCGAGTTTTCTCCCTTGAATAAAAAAATGTAAAACGGGTTTTGATTCGCCGTTTCATTATAAGTGTCCGATACATACGACTGTCTATTTTCAGAGTTATTGCCCTTGACTTAGTAAAATTTTGCAATTTTCAACTTGTGTCGCATGTAACTCAAAAAGTATTTGACCTAGAGTCATGAAACTTTACAGGAATGTTGATCAGCATGTGTTGTTGTGCACCTGGGTATTTTCGTCTGGATATTTATAGTATTTTAAGAGTTATTGTCCTTGACTTAGTAAAATTTGGCAATTTTCAACTTGTGTCGCACGTAACTCAAAAAGTATTTGACATAGAGTCATGAAACTTTACAGGAATGTTGATCAGCATGTGTAGTTGTGCACCTGGGTATTTTCGTCTGGATATTTTTAGTATTTTCAGAGTTATTGCCCTTGATTTAGTAAAATTTTGCAATTTTCAACATGTGTCGCACATAACTCAAAAAGTATTTGACCTAGAGTCATGTAACTTTACAGGAATATTGATCAGCATGTGCAGTTGTGCACCAGGTATTTACGTCTGGATTTATTTAGTATTTTTAGAGTTATTGCCCTTCACTTAGAAATTTTTTGCAATTTTCAACTTGTGTCTCAAGTTACTGAAAAAGGATTTGACATAGTCATTAAACCTTATGGGCAGGTTGCTCAGCATATTTAGAT